CATACATACATACATATAAATAAATAAATGGATTGTAGTCCTCCAGCTGAATGCCAAGCAAGAACTGTGGGAAGACAACCAACAAAGAAAAGCTGAAAGAAGTAATTTAAGAAGTGTGTAATAAGTAATTTAAGAAGCCCAAGGAATTGTGACTTACCTTAGATAAGGATAAACTTGTAGATAAGGATAAACTTAGATAAGATAAACTTGCACAGTACTGTACATACATACATACATACATATAAATAAATAAATGGATTGCAGTCCTCCAGCTGAATGCCAAGCAAGAACTGTGGGAAGACAACCAACAAAGAAAAGCTGAAAGAAGTAATTTAAGAAGTGTGTAAAAAGTAATTTAAGAAGCCCAAGGAATTGTGACTTACCTTAGATAAGGACTGGGGTGGAGTTCCTCCAGTTTCCCTAAAATGATAACTACTGTATAGGAGGCTTCATATATGTGCATGCATGTAATGTTCCTGTCACTCTTAAAGGATACCTTATGGTGGTGACCCCAATTCTGCCTATGTATTTTCCTGAGAACCAGTTAGTTCTAGTGATTAAGGTGCTGGACTAAGAGCAGGGAAACCTGAGTTTTATTCTTGCCCCAGTCACACAGGCCAGTTGGATGACCTTGGGCCCTCTCAGCCCAAGGAGAAGGCAATGGCTAACCACTTCTGAAAATGCTTAGAAAACTGCAGGGACTTTTCCATGTATTTGCCAGGAATCAGGTCTGGCTCAAAGGTGAAAATAAACCAACAAACAACCTACTTTCCCACACAAAATTTATTTAAAACCCTAGGACTAAGTTGTTCAGTTTTCAAATTCTGTGATGCAATTGTTAAGTTGCTGGACTAGAATTGTGGAGACCCAGGATCAAATCCAGGCTCAGCTCTGGAACCTCATTAGGTAATTTTGGGTCAATCACTATCACTTAGGCCACTGTACCCCACAGGGTTGGTATGTGTATAAAATTGTAGGAGGACGTGCTATGTGGAGCATCCTAAGCTTCTGAAGGAAAAGCAGGATATGAATAGATGCATCATGCCTACATTTTCAGTATTCCCAGGTAGCACACATTTGTAGGCTACAGGTTGAGGGAAGTTCAGTTGCAAATTTAATTCAGATTTCCGATCTCTTTGGCTTTCAACCTCTTGTTTGAATAATTGGGAAGAAGTTGCTGATAAAAGGATTATTTTGTAATTACGTTAAGAGTGTAACTCAATATTTAGCTGACATTAAGTTGTGGTATACCATTTTTGTACACCTGTCTACAAATTGAAAAAAAAACTTTATTAATGGAAGGATATGCCTGCTATTTTTCTAATAATTACTTTGTTTCTCTTAGCAAAATACGATGCAAATTCTTTGTCCGAAGCAATGGTCACTGCCCCTTTAAATCAGAATGTATCTATCTACATGAACTTCCTGGTGCACAGCTTCCCTCTGCAAGGCTGCGACAGAGACCTGAAAGGCGGAAGCGGCGACCCTTTGTAAGTAAAACCACTTTCTTATGCTTGAGATAAAGTGAACAATTTCAGCTGTTTGTGAGCAGCAAGATAACCATTTCAGAACTGACTCCAGACAGTTCTGCTATGCAGCCCCCCTCAGTTTGGTACTCTATCATAATTCTGGAAATTTCAAAGGCATCAAGTTGGACAAGGTTGCAGCATGGAAATACATTTTTTGAGCTCCACAATGTTGCAACCAGCTTTAGGCCAGCCTTTGTCATCCTATTTATAACAGTTTGTCTTCCTAAAAATTGCAGATGTAATCGGTGCTACTTACTTGATAAACTTCATTGCCTTAACTTGTCTGCTAAAATCTACCAGTATTTTCAGTCCAAATCCATTTTCTGGCAGACTGGTGGAGTGGTTTTATGTCAATATGTGTGTGTGTGTGTGTGTGTGTTTTTGGCATGTTTCCCATATCACAGGTCTATAATCCATCTCCATCTGAGAGCTCTGAAGAGGATGACGACGATATGTGCCTTGTCCAATGGGCTCTTACCTTTGCGCTGTTGCACAGAGATACAGACTTTGACTTTTCAGACTTTCTCTGGGATTCAAGTGATTCTTCTGACTAGATGATGATATCTTCTTCAGAGGCCATGTGTAGCTGGCTCCAGGAACAGTGTTAATGAAATGTAAAGTGTTGCCTTGGAGGATGGGTGTGGGATGAAAGATGTCTTTATTGTAATAAGCTTAATGGTTTTTAGTTTTACGTCAGATGTATTACAGTATTTTGACTGGAACTCATAAGCTGGGAGAACATAATGCAAGGACTTGTTCTGTATTGGGGAAGCCCCTCTAATCCACCAGGCAAGATTTTGCTATCACCACTGTCAGCACATGATGTACATCTCACCAATTGCACTGCTGTTGCCCTGTCCCTTCCTTGCCTTAATTGTTGCATTTTCTGCATTCCCTCCCACCCTTACAGCTGATCACATATTGGATTTCCCAATATGGCATCTATAATAACCTCTCAACAGTGTTTTTTGGGAGGATGCTGGGATCTTCCGATTTTGCGTGTATTCTGAAGAGGTTGAGTGATCACCTGTGTTCATGCTGCTGCTTATTTGTTTCCTCAGGAAAGCTGGTTTGCTGAGCAGTGCTATTTACAGTAGGCAGCACCTGCAACTCGCTATTGTATAGCAGTGCTGCTGGGTGTCTATAGTAGGCCTAATTTGGGGAGGGGTATGGGGGGAAGTATAAGTCTTGAATTTTTAGTATTGGTGCAGTGATCAATTAGCAGCGGAGGCTTAGAACATTGTAGTTTAAATCCTTATGATAAGGGATCAGTAAGCCCCCATACATATTTTTTAATTCCAGAAATACCTGGAGAACATGAAATAAAAAGATAACCATGCAAATGTTGTTGTTCTTAGTGATTTTTTTTTTTATCACATCAAACGTGGTCTACATCAAACACCTGTATTCAAGAAATACAAACAAAATGTTCTGTCTTTTAGTATGTCCCCACCATGTTTTGTTGTATTTTGTCGTCTTCCTCTTTTAATACTGAAATACACTGTGTTGAAGAGATTGACAAAAAGATAATATTAAGAATAGAGCTTAGGCAAGCTCTGCAAATGATTTGGAAGAAGTGCACCACTCTGCTATTCATTAAAGTAGCCTGAGTTTTGTTCTGGCTTCCTCAGGAACCTGAAAAAATGTATTTCCTTTAAGGATCTGATTCATTAAAGTTAAGAATTCTTAAAGCAGCAGTGCCATTTTTCAGGCTCATAATGATAAGTAGAGCAGTTCCTGTGCTTGTATTAGGTCCGAAGCAGTTCTTCCAAATGATTTTGAAGCAAAGAAAGCTAGTACAATTTTATATGCCTGCCAAAGAAAAAAAGATTTGAGTGTGAAGATGCTGAAGTAATATTCCTAAATATGCAGACTTCTGATTAAGAGGAATCCTAACATTCTTACAAATTATAGTAATAGAAAAATCTTCACTAATAAAATACTCTTATAACTCATCTTTCCCCCTTAGATTTTTTGGACAGCTTCAAAGAATGTTCTGTAATTTAATTTCTTAAATTGGGGTTAGTATATTCCATTAGATATGCTTAATAGGTACTGCTGCTCTTTGTCTTTCCTTGGACCAATATGGCTTTAAATTATATTCTTCTAAAATGAGATTTCCAGCCCTCAGCCTAGATTTTCATTTTCCACAATTCCCAACAGTGTTATTAAATTTGCTCACTACTGACCTATAGTGCTTGATAGATTGCACTCAAGGGATGCTGATGATGGAACAAAAATTTCCTCCTTGCTGCTGACAAATAGTTTCTTCAGCAGAGGAAGCTATGTTCTTTTGGGACCAGCTATACTTCTGGCTTAATCAATCTCTTCTCTTTTTCTTGTAATTAAGTGACTATCTAAAAGAGGATAGTAACAGGAGAGAGTACCTTGCTTGCTCCAAAGGCACATGCCGAAATGGTCAAGGGCTACTTAACAGCACACATCCAAATGTTCTCTATTTTTAAAAGTAAAGAGAAAAATTCTTGTAAAGTTTGGAGTGTTCATATTAGAGCTGTTCAGTACTTCAGTTTTGAAGGCAAAAAGGCAGTTTCAGAGCACGCTGGTGCAGGTGATGTTTTCAGCCCCTTAGGCCAAGAACACATTTACCTGGGGATCACACTAACTGGAGGGCAATCATGCAATCAAACGTAATACAGTACTCATTTCTGCATTGCACTACACATGTTGAAGAAGGATGCAAAGCGCATAGAATGAAATTATGAAGCTACTATATAGCTTGTTTGAGTATAACAAATGCTGGCCTTGCAAATTAACTACAGTTGCTTTATATTGATTGATACTTCACAAAATATGCTATAATATGAACTGGTTAAATTATTTGTGCAATAGACCACTATGGCTATGCAAACCCAGCCATTCTAAATTGTCAACCATACTGTTCATTGCTTAAACCTATCTCTGTTTTAATCTGTTATGCAAATAATATAAGACAAATCTTAACATCCAAATGGTTTATATAAATGATTTCTGCACAAGTAGAGGGGGAAGGTTGCTTTTATACCTCACTTCATTTCTTCCTTTCTTTTCTGTCTGCCTCCCATTCTCATGTCTTTGCAATGTAAGGGTGGCAAAATTAGCAATAGAAATAGATCCTTATTTGCAGGATGTTATAGTTGAATGCTTCAACTCCAAGTAACATTGATTCAAATTCCAGAGATAATGCAAAAGCCTGGATAAAATATATAAAACAGAAGGCCTTTTAAAACAGGCTATCTTAATTTTATTAGTTTAGGAATAAAAATAGCCCATTAATAAGACAACCTAATGCACAAATGATATACTACAGTATCCAGTAGTTCTGTTGACCATGCTTTCAAACAGTGAAATGGAACAAAGGCTATGATTAGTGAGCATGTGCAAACAAGGGGGACTGGAATGCAAAACTGGAATAATCCCAGTGAAACCAGAACGTATGGTAAGCCATGTGTATGCATCTGTTTATACACACATTGCAGCTACACATCTACACACAAGCATCCACACACAAGCTGGAACAATATTTTAAAATCATATTTTACAGTGTAATTTTTAAAAACCTACCTGAGAAATGTTTTAAAATGAAATCTCTGCATGTATAAGTCATACCCATTTGCCCATTTCTAGCCAAAAGCTATTACAAATACGAAATACTGAATACTGAAGAATTACAGGCATGCATATATTTTCTAACAGTGTTTTTCAAACCTGGCAACTTTTAAGATGTGCGGACTTCAACTTCCAGAATTCCCCAGCCAGCATGTCCACACAACTTAAAGTTGCCACGTTTGAAAAATACTGTTTTAACATAACAAACTTTGGGGATGGTTTGGGGGGGCAGATACTTTATGATTGGTTTTCCACTTGGCTATGAAGAATTTTTTTTATTTGATCTAAACTAGCAGTGTTTCTCAACCTTAGCAACTTGAAGCGGTGTGGATTTCAACTCCCAGAATTCCCCACCCAGGAATTCCTTTTTAAAAACCTGGTCTCTAGATTGCCAACGGCTTCCTCTCGCGGAAGGCTTAAAAGAGCGCGTTCCAACGCTGGGCCCTGGAGGTCGCTTGTAGGGAGGGAGGCCGCCCCTCCCGTTTCAGGGCTCAGCTCCACGCCGAAGCTTGGCGCCTCCCCGACCCTCGCCTTAGAGGCTTCTCAGGTGCTTATGATGATCAACTCTAAGAGGGAGGCTCAGACGTCCTTCCTAGTCGATAGCCACGCCGTACTTTTTAATGTAAAACTTCCCAGGTAAAATTCAGACATGAGCTGCAAAAAGTAAGAGCGGCCACTCTTCTGTTTCTCTCTGAAGATTTCTGTCATTGAGTGATCTCAGCACTTTCCACTTCCATCTCGGAGAAAACTAAGGTTGGAATCGGAACCAAGCAGAACTAGGACTAAATGAAAGCAATAATAACTTGGATCCGCCTAACTAATAAGATAATAGGACTCCGTGTGAGATGGGCGGCTATACAGTATAAATTTGACAAATGAATAAACTATGAACATACAGAACACACGCCACAGGCCTTTGGAAGACAGTCCTATACCTCAGATACTGACTGATCCGGGGGGTGTACAGTGGGGGGAACGGAGATTCACCCGTAAGCTTTTCAAAGAAGAAATGAAAGAAACTACTTTATGTTAACGAGATACAATTCAGTGGAAGAAATCCTCCCTTTCAGCAACGGTAACAGAAAATGGAGAGGGGGGCAGTCTTTATTGCTTCTCTCTCAGAGGAGGGAAGAAGCGACACATTAGGAACTCGCAAGTCTCATTTCTGTATAAGTGGGGGATGTGCATTCTAACTTTTCCTATCTCTGAGGACGTTGCTGCTCCGCCTCCCGTCAATCTCATTGGAGAGTCTCGCTTGCGGGACTGGGGCGCGGGAAGGAAGAAGGCAAAGGCTTGTGGAGCTGGGAGCAAGGTAACGGTGTGGTTGAGGGGAGTGAGGCGGATCGCTGGATAAACGCTGCTGCTG